CCAGCCTGGGCAACAGAGCAAGACCCTGTCTCAAAAAAAAAAAGCAACACACATTCATTCTCTTACAGTTTTGGAGGTCATAAGTCCAAAATCAATTTTACTGGGCTGAAATTAACGTGTTGGCAAGCTGTCTCCCTCCGGAGGTTCTAGGGAGAATCTGTTCCCTGCCTTTTCTAGCTTCCAGAGCTGCATTCTTTGCCTGGTAGTCCCTTCCTCCACCTTCAAGGCCAACAACAGAGCTTCTTGCTGAAGCAATCATATCGCCTCTTCTGTTTTTGAATATCCCCTGCTTCCCTCTTATAAGGACACATGTGGTTGCATTTAGAGCCCACCTGGGTAATTCAGGAAAACATCTCCAACTCAAGATCCTTAACCACACCTGCAAAGTCTCTTTTGCCACATCAGGTAACATTTACAGGTTCTAGCGATTAGGATCCATCTCTCTTTGGGGGCTACTATACAGCCCAGCACAACCTCCCTCCAAGGTTCCCATGGCTCCACCTTTGTCTCCATTTTTCACTTCACTGATTCCTCCTCCTTACACTTTAAGGAAAGTCAGTTTCGCCATCCACCTGGAACCACTACTCCTCCTGAGCCTTTCCCTCTGTCCACTGGACTCCAGCTCATATTCAGAATTCCCACAGGATTGGTTTTTCTCAGCATCTAGTGCTTTGCATTAATTTTTAGTTTTTTAAAAAAATTAGCCTTCCGATAGGAATGTTTTAGTTTTTGAAAACAGAATTTGAATCTCTTGTAACACACATTTACTGAGAAAAATGAGAAAAAAAGAAGACCAAAAAGAAGAATGTGAAAACCACATGGAATCCCGTTCACAAAAGGAGCTGCTGTAAATGTGCTGGTGCGTATCCTGTATTCATTCTCCAGTGCTCATCTAAACACTAAAGAGGATGTTTCTAAAACCAACAAAAAATATGTTTTGAAACATCTGTTGGACTCTGGAGTCAAGATATTCTGGTCCAAATTCCAGCAGGTCACTCACTATCTGTGTGCTCTTTGCCAAGTTACTTAACCTATCTGTGCCTCAGTTTACCTATCTGTAAAAAAGAAAGGAATGATAGCACATACCTCCTAGGGCTGTTATGATGATGAATTAACATACAGCATGTGCTTAAGACTGTGCCTGGCACACAGCAAATGCCATATATGTGTGAGCTGTCATCACCATTAGTATTACACTATTTAAGGAGACATCTGTTCAGATGGATAAATAACCTTTGGCAGTATCATTCCCAGCTACCTGGGGTTCTCTGGGATGAGTGCACTGCTGCTCTACTGTTAGGCATTTAGCTTGTTTCCAGTTGTTTTTTTCCTTTTTTCCTTCTATAAACAATGAAGGGATAATCCTTGAACAAACACCTTTGCAACACATCTTTATTTGTTCCTAAAAATTCAACTGCTGAGTCAGAGATCACACATATTTTTAAGCTTTTGATACATCATTGCCAACTTGCCCTTCAAAATCCTCTACCCAGCAGAACAGCGTGCCCCTCTCCCCACACCCACCCTCCCTGGGCACACCCAATGACCCTCATGCCTCCCCTCTCCTCCAAGGGACCACGCTTCCTTACTCAACCATGTGTGTGCCCCCACATCAACATCACAGCACCCCAGTGAAGCAGAGAAGCAGAGGAACTAGAAATGAGGACTCAGGGTCCTGTTTTCCGCCTCCTAGAGCAAACCTCTGCCTCAGTTTTCCCCATATGTAAAATGTGGGTCAACACATCTGCCAACAAACACTAAAATCGTCTATAAAATTGAGTGGGGTTAGATATTCCATGTATTCAAATGAAAACAAAATTCTAAACAACTGGTAAAACTTTTGTTTCTTAACCACACATCAAGTATATTTTAGAAAATTTCCAAGATCCACTACTCAGAGCCCAAATCTGCCATTTTAGAGCTCTGACTCCCAACCATTTTGGGAACATAGTGCTCCAGTGCCAGGGCGCAGAAACAAGTGCCTTCCTACTTGTGGACAGACCAGTGTCCCACTTTCACATATCACAAAAAAAGAACGCACCCGGCTACTGAAGGCCCAAGAATCTGCCCTCTGAGAACTGTAATGAGCTTGCATGCAGGTGTGATGGTGTCCTGGACTCCCTCCCAAGTATCATCTTGGCTCCCCACAATATATATATATTTGAGACACAGTCTCATTCTGTTGTCTAGGTTGGAGTGCAGTGGTGCAATCTCAGCTCACTGCAACCTCCACCTCTCAGGTTCAAGCAATTCTCCTGTCTCAGTCTCCCCAGTAGCTGGGACTACAGGCACACACACCACCAAGCCTGGTTCATTTTTGTATTTTTAGCAGAGATGGAGTTTTGCCCTGTTGGCCAAGCTGGTCTCGAACTCCTGACCTCAGGTGATCTACCCATCTAGGCTTCCCAAAGTGCCGGGATTACAGGCATGAGCCAAATGCTCTGGCCTCACAATGTTAATGAGGGCTACTCTTCCCATTTTACTGTTAAGACTGATGCTGAAAGAAGGTAAAAACTTGCTGGCCGGGCACGGTGTCTCATGCCTGTAATCCCAGTACTTTGGGAGGCCGAGGCAGGTGGATCACGAGGTCAAGAGTTTGAGTCCAGCCTGGCCAACATGGCAAAACCCCATCTCTACTAGAAATACAAAAATCAGCTGGGCTTGGTGGCATGTGCCTGTAATCCCAGCTACTTGGGAGGCTGAGGCAGGAGAATTGCTTGAACCTGGGAGATGGAGGCTGCAGTGAGCCGAGATCTTGCCACTGCACTCCAGCCTGATGACAGAGTGAGACTCCGTCTCAAAAAAAAAAAAAAAAAAAAAAAAAAAAAAAAAAAAAAATTCCCAGGAGCTGAGAAGCAGAGAGGAGACCCTAAAATTCACATCCTCTGATTCCAAAATCCCTGCCTTCCTTGTTCCTGTTGCAGCAAGACCCCCTCTCCACACACATAAACACATCTCAGAGAGGCCTGCACTGTTCTGAGAACCCAGAGAAAGAACTGGAACACCTTGGAGGAGGGAATCTGGAAACTGGAGCAAAGTGGGAGGAGAAGGAGCCCCCAGCACAGTGATGGAGTGCACTGGGAAGGCAGCCTGAGGACAACTGTCCTTTGCTGGCCACTTGCCGGAAGCTGCTCTGGACATCTTAAACGCTGTCACATCTCATTTCCAGAGGCCCCAGCCAAATAGGCACCACGATGATCCCATTTTACAGATGAGGAAAGTGAAGTGTGGAACAGCTATTAGACTGTCCCAAAGCCAGGCAGTCAGCATGCCATGGGACAAGGCCAGGTGTGGTGGCTCACGCCTGTAATCCCAGCTACTCGGGAAGCTGAGGTACGAGAACAGCTTGATGCCGAGGTGGAGGCTGCAGTGAGCCAACTGTGCCACTGCACTCCAGCCTGGGTGACAGAGCAGGATTCCATCTCAAAACAAAACAAACAAAAAACCCAAGTTGCTTTAAAAGCCTTCCCTCCAGGGGGTTAACAAGTTCATCGGTCTGGGTGGTTCCTTTCCAAGTCGGGTGATCAGGGCCTGCCTCAAGTGGGCTCCACAAAGAAAAAGTTGGCAAGGGATTGGAGAGGGTGCCAGCCCCATGGCTAACTGGGCTCAGCACTGGCACTTCTGTGCACACAGCCAGTTTCCAGTGCCCCAGGAACAGCCTCCACCCCTCCTTCTCTGTAAGTCTGTCATGAGCTATTGCTGATTTATTTATTTATTTTTTGTAAAGGTGGGGTCTCACTATGTTACCCAGGCTGCTCTTGAACTCCTGGCCTTAAGCGATCCTCTGGCCTCCGCCTCCCAAAGTGCTGGGATTACAGGTATGAGTCACTGCACCTGGCCTGCTACTGCTGATTTAATAAAACCTCGCCCAACCCCCACCTTCTAGCCCCCTCCCCCACAACACACACGCACATTCTAGGTCATCCAGCCTCCATACCTCTCCTAGTTCGAGCCTCTTTCACACTCCAGAGTATGGGCCAGTCCCTTGATCCTGCAGCGCATAACGCCATCTCCCTCTTCATTAACAGAAATTGTTTTTCCAGGTCTTCAAAAGCTGCCCCCGACTCGGATTCCACCTTGTTTCCTGAGTGCGCCCACAGACGGGTGCCCCTTCCAGCCTGGTAACAGAGCGCAGGGGCTCTCCTACCTCATCGGACATCAAGGTCCTCGAAGGCAGTGACAAGCCCCCTCCCCCAGGTGTCAGAGGACACTTACTGGAATCTGCTCATCCGACATACACGGAAGGAGCACCTATAAGTCCCAGGCCTGGAGGAATCCGGGCTGCTTTCCTTTCCTCCTGTCTGGGTCTCTCCACACCGGGGAGAACAGAGAAGTCAGTCCTCGGATCCTCCTGGGTCCCTGGCTCCCTTTCCCATCTCCTCTTCCTGGCGTTCTCTCTTGCTCTCCAGCCACTGCCCACTGGATGTGAGTTTCCAGCAGGCCAACTGATCACCTCTCCAGAGGGGCCCCAAGGCTGAGGGTCCCCAGTCAGCAGGGTCCAATCTGGCTTCCCACCTCCCAGGCCACTTGGCCTCCACTCCCAGCAAGAAACTTCTCCCCAAAGGGAAAGGCGGCTCAGATTGTCACAGGGGTCAGGAGTAAGAGGTCCATGGCGCGGGTCCTGCCAGAAGCCCTCAGGTCCTTTCTTAGGGGACAAGCGACACTGATTGGAAGGCAGGAGCCCTGAGCTAGATTTCAGGGTCCTGACCTGAGCTCTGCTTGTCGGAGACTCCATGACCCGTGCTACCCCAGCCCGGAAGCCGCCCCCCGACCGGTGCTCCCCTAGCCCGGACGCCGGCGCCAGGGACTCGCCACAGCCTCAAGTCCTCTCCCGGGGCCCGGCTCCGCACAGAAACAGGTAGCACAAAACTAGGAATGAGTTGGCGTCCGCACCCCTTCGTGCTCGGCCCAGAGCCGCCCGAGTCCCCGGCCGCGGCGCCTGGAGTCCGTTCCAAAGCGGAAAGTGGCGGGCTGAGGGGCAGGCGGGCGGCGGGCCGTACCTGTGAGCAGCTCCAACCGGTGTCCCAGCACCTTCATCTCGGCGCCCGGCGTCAGGGCAGCGCGCTCTGCCGAGCCGGGGAGAGGAACGCGGGAGACCCTAAGCTGAGCGGCGGGAGAGCGCGGAGCGAAGCGGGAGGAGCAGCTTGCAGCCAGAAGCGCTCTCCCGCCCCCTACACCGCGCTCCCCCCTCCAAAACAGTTTTAAAAAAATCCACCAATTGCACGGCCGCGCACCCCCAAAAGGCGCCTGCCGCCACCTGGTCCGGGTGAACTCCAGGAGGCGGAGGGAGGGCGCGGGGTGGGGGGTGCGGTGACACCGCGGGAGGGGGGTCCTCCGTGCCCGCCACCTGAACAAAGAGGACCTGCCGTCCCCGGGCGTCGCGGTTGGGGGGCACGGGCGGCGGTTGGGGGTCCCCAGCGGGGCCGGAAAGGCAAGGAGGGAGAGCGGGGAGCGCCGGGAGGAGGGGGCGTCGCCCCCACGCAGGAGAAATGTGGAGGGAGCGAGTCGGTGCTGGGCTTACGGGGATGGGGCTGTGCGCGGGGCTGGGCTGGGCTGGGGCGGAGACGCGCGCGGCAGCCCGGGTGGCGAGGGGAGCTGGCCCCAGGCTCAGAGGCGAGGGCGCCGCCGACTCACCGCGGAGATGCGGGCGAGACAGACGCGCAGACGGGAAGCGGGGCCTTGGCGCCGCCGACGCGCGGGTGCAGGTGCGGGCCGCCCGGAACCCCTCGGCGCCCGAGGCTGCCGGGGCGGAGGCCTGGCTGGGGGCGGTGCGCCGTGGGGGGCGTGCCCGCGTGGGTTTGGCCGGCGTGGGCCCTCGGCCCGAAGGGCGGTGCCGGGCCTAGGGCTGGCCCGGGACCGACCGCGGTCTCTCGCTCTTGGCTTCCGCCTTTTGCACGGCTGGGACGCCGGGTGGGCAGGTGGGAGGGCGAGCGGAGACCGCGAAGCCAGTCGGACACCCCGTCCGAACCGCGCCCCTGCCCGCTTCTCACTCGCCCCGCCGCGCGGACTGTGCTGGGTGCCCTGCGCTGCCCCACCCGCCTCTCCAGGCCCCCTGTAGCCGCGGGGCGTCGGGTTCCCGGGGGAGGGGACGGCTCTGCTCTAGTCTTTGTTTAGACTCCCGAGAGGAACCTCACCCTGCAGAGACACCCCCATTCCTCCCCACCCCCGCGCCGACCCTCGGGTCACCCTCCGTCGCCGCCTGGGAACAGTGGGAGAAAAGCCGTGGGGGACGGGAAGAACCTGGGGCTCAGGGGCCCTTGGGGCGTCGTCCCCCTCGTTTTTGGAGCCTGAGGGTGTCCTTGGGAAACTCGTGCAGGAGTGGGGAGTGACACCCTAGCACAGGTGTCCTGGGCCCTTAGGGCCCCGCCCAGAAAGTGGGGAGGTCCCTGCTCCCCCTAGTTCACCGGCATTATCTGAGCGGGAAAGGGAACATGTGGACGCGTGTCTTCCTCAGGCTCATCCTGCTCGGGGCCCTGGGGCACTCCTCCCTCCTGCCACTCTCCTCACCACCCCGTCTTTGTTCCCAAATGAAGTCCCACTCCGGGGAATATGGAAATCTGAGGGACTGAAGAAAATTTATTTGGACAAGACAGCTCAAGACAGGGCTCCTGGAAACCCGGGTTCTATTCAGGCTCCGCCGGTGACCTTGAGCGAGGCTCTGCTCCTCCTAGGTTCCAGCCTTTTCCATGCAGGGCTGTGTTGGCCCAGGTGATTTTGGAGGTCCAGGATGGCGGTAGGGTAGGGGGGTGCAGAGGGGCCTGCAGGCTTCGGGATCGATCCTTCCGCAGACCTCTCTCTAGGCTGGTTGGCAGAGAGGCCCTGGCTTTTTTTCCCCCAGCTCCAGGGGGCTGTGGCCCATCCACCAGTTGAGGAAGCTGTTAATTAACCCATCCACCAGCTGAGGAAGCTGGTAAGATTTTGGTGACCCCAGATGGGGCACATGTTCTCGCCTGGGTTACAGCTTTGTCCTTGGGTTACCCCTACAGCTTGGGGTGCAGTGTATAAATCTCACAGGAGGCAGCAATGTGTGTTCCTTGCCTTTCGGAAATCCCTGCCTCTCAGTTTCCTCCTTTGCAAAGGGGTGGGGGGAGGTCGGTGATGACAGAAGTGAACCTCTATTTCTGACACTTCACCAGGCTTAGTTCTATATATAGCAGCCAGGAGCCAGTCCTTAGGAGCTTCCTGGCTGTGGGATGTCTGGCAAGCTGCTTACCCTCTCTGAGCCTTCATGTCATACTCTGAAATTGGGATGATGCTGACCTCAGGATTCCTGTAAAGATTAACTGATAGAATAAAGAAAATACTTACCATAGTGTCAGACACATGACTTAAGTTTAAGTGATCAATAAGTCATCGCTATTACTGTTCACGATGAAATTATTATTACATGAGCGATTCTTTCAGACTTTCCTGAGTCTACTCTTTGTAGTCATTTCAGACCTTGTCATTGGACAAAATTGTTGATGCTCTAGTGACATAATTCGTGGGGCCTGGGCTGTTCTGCAGGCTGCCTAACAGGAGCTTTGACACTAGGACATGCCTGTCTGTGAGAAACAGTGTCTGCAATGGCCTTAAACTCATGTAGCTCAGATGATTCATGAACTCCTGTGAGCATTCCAGTGAGTCAGGTTGTGGATTTGAGGTCCTAAAAGTGGAGACAGTAGGGCTGGGCACGGTGGGTCATGCCTGTAATCCCAGCATTTTGGGAGGCCAAGGCAGGCAGATCACCTGAAGTCACGAGTTTGAGACCAGCCTGGCCAACCTATGAAACCCTGTCTCTACTAAAAATACAAAAATTAGCCAGGCATGGCAGCACATACCTGTAATCCCAGCTACTTGGGAGGCTGAGGCAGGAAAATCACTTGAACCTGGGAGGCAGAGGTTGCACTGAGCCAAGATCACACCATTGCACTCCATCCTGGGCTAGAGTGTCTCAAAAAAAAAAAGAGACAATAGATGAAGAAATGTAATTGTGAGAGTCCCCCGGGCTACTGCATTAAGCAAAGGTGCTTAGGGAATAGGCAGGTCGAGGAGGCTCTGACTCCTGGAAACATCAGCCATGCCAGGCAGAGGAGTCACTGCCGAGTCAGCAGAAGAGCAACCTCTGGGTCCCCTGTACAGCTGGGCTCTCTTCATCTTCAGTAGCCTGGGGAGGAGGCATGTTTGGGAGCAGGTTGGATTAACTGTGGAAAGTGGAACAGTGCAGAGGACCAAGCTGTTGCCTGGGACAGGAGGCCTCTAAGAAGTGTCCCCCTAGCCTTGCTCCTAATTACTTGAAACATGCTTCCCAAGTCACTGTCTTGTAAAATGGGCAGAAGATCTCTGGCCTGCACCTAGGTTGGAGATGAGATAACCTTTCTGAAGATCTCCAGTGAGTCTTCACTTCCTCATCTGTAATCTCGAGCTGATGTATCAGTCAGGGTGTTTAATTGCAAGAAATAGAGACCTAGTCTGGCTAATTGAAGGAAAAAAAGGCTTTGGTAAAAGGAGGGTAGGCCAGGCATGGTGTTTCATGCCTGTAATCCCAGCACTTTGGGGGGCTGAGGCGGGTGGATCACTTGAGGTCAGGAGTTCGAGACCAGTGTGACCAACATGGTGAAACCCCATCTCTACTAAAAACACAAAAATTAGCCAGGTGTGGTGATATACACCTATAATCCCAGCTACTTGGGAGGCTGAAGCAGGAGAATTGCTTGAACCAGGGAGGCAGAGGTTGCAGTGAGCTGAGATCATGCCACTGCACTCCAGTCTGGGCAAAAGAATGAGACTTCATCTCAAAAAAGGAGGGTGGGTGGCTCTTGGAATATCAGGTGCCAGGTCTGACACTGCAGTGTTGGCCTGATGTTAAAACCACCACTGCCATCCCCAGGCACAGAAGCTGCAGCCAGTGCCAGCCCTGGACAAGGTCACTGGGCACTGCCACCAGGATCTCAGCTGCTGCTTTCCCAATCCTCACCATCCATTCTGCATGGTTGTGGCTTCCTTGTGACACCAGTTTCTAATTAACAATCAAGAACAGAACATGCCTGGGTGCAGTGGTTCACACCTGTAATCCCAGCACTTCGGGAGGCGGAGGCAGGAGGATTGCTTGAGCCCAGGAGTTCAAGATCAGCCTGGGCAACATGGCGAAACCCTGTCTCTACAAAAAACACAAAAAGTAGCCAGTCATGGTGGTACACGCCTGTGGTCCCAGCTACTTGGGAAGTTGAGGCAGAAGAATTGCATGAACCTGAGAGGTGGAGGTTACAGTGAGATGAGATTGCACCATTGTACTTCAGCCTGAGTGACAGAGTGAGACTCCATCTAAATAACTTAAATAAATAAAAATAAAGAATGGGATGTCTGATTGGAGGACCCCAGGTCATATACTTTGGCAAAGCCGTAAGCAAAGCTGGGGAAAGATGTTTTCAGTTTCTCTAGTGGGAGGTGGGCTCTGCCTTGTAGAAAGGGTGTGTCAGCTGATGGGGGCCAAGAGTGACCAGTGACCACTTCAGATAACAATGGTCTTGTGAAACTGTTGTGAGATGCTGCACGTTGTCATTTCACTGGAAGGCAGGTGTGGAGGGAGCAGGGATCCCAATGACCCCTCATCGCTGAGATTCATACCACGCTGTACATGTAAACCGTTACTCCTCCATTCTTTAAATCTTCGATTTTTCAGCAGGCAAAAGACAAAAGGACCTTGAAAACAGTATGGCTTGCTGCCCTTCCACAGACAGAGGCAGCTCCATCCTGCTGCCAGGAGGACAGGTGACTGGGTTTTTCCATTGTGGTGATGAATTGGGCTGAGTCACATCCCCTCATGACCATGACTGGAAGCAAGTAAAAGAACCAGCTGATGGTCAGAGGTGCAGATGATGAACCTGGGGCCATTGACTCCTCATCCCTTAATAGGGATGGGGGAGGCAGGAACTGTTCCCCGTCCCCACCAACACTCCCTTCTCCTGAATCTTTAGCCACATGCCTCAGGGAGAGAAGAGAGGCTCCTTTCCTTCCTTTCATAGTATTGATTGATTGTCTCTTTGGTGCTGTGGGGTTCAGTGGACATTGACCTTGCCTTTAAAGTTCATGCAATGATGGAAACCAGCTCAGAGTCCTACAATCTCAGTACCAGGCAGACTCTGCTAAGATGAGTAATTGATGTTACCGTGGAGTGCAGTGGAGGCCTGAGGGACTCAGCAAAGGCTTCCTGGAGGAAGAGGCATCTGAGCCCCCAAGAGGTGGAAGATCAGCAGATGGAGATGGGGGGCGGGCGAAAGGAAGAGAGCATCCATCCATCCATCTGTCTGTCTATCCATTGGTCCATCCATCCATCCTGCATTGGGTCAGACAGGCCCTGTCCTGAGCTCAGTGAGGCACAGTGCTGAGCACACTGCAGCCCTGCCCCTCAACAGGAGCTCCTGAATTGAGGTGGAGAAGGCTGGGTATGCATGAGCAGATGGTGAGGAAGCTGGAAAGAGGAAGTGGGTGGGGGAGAGTGCCTGGCCCCAGCCCGGCTCTGGAATTTCACCAGTTACTAGATGATCTGCTCTCTGCTCCTGGCCCACTGTGGATGACTCACCGGTTATATTGCAATCCCCTTTCTCCCATGACAGGTAAGGGCCCTCCTCCCTGCAGGGCCAGCCCTTTGCTATCCTGGTAATTCTGGACATT